ACAAACGTTTTATAGTGATCTGTCTCACACCAGACATTGTCTTCCAATTTGAATTATGAACTCCCTACTTAAGAACGGAAAGGAGACTTAATCTACCCTTTTATAAAAGTGGGATAATGTTAAACTTGATGTTACCTCTTTTGTATTCCGACTCGACTCAGGTTCACAATCACCGTAATTAGAACCACAGTCATTAATTTTTTCCACACCAGCGCGTTCTGAGAATGGTACTCGTTCAGCTTTCTCTTTGTTGCGCTCTGCATCTTTCTTCTTCCCTCTTTCGGTATCTTGCACCTGAACTACCTGTGTGAAACATGGAAACAAACGTGTCATAGTGATTTTTCCCATTACAAAATTGTCTTCCAATTTGAATCATGGATCCCTTACTTCATAACGAGATGGAGGCTCAATTTACCCTTTTAGAAAGAAGGAAAATGTTACACTTGATAATACCTCTTTCCTGTCATCTATATCCCGGTTCAACTTAGGTTTACTGTTATTAAAGTTTTCCACCCGAGCGCATTCGGGGTATGGCGCTCGTTCAGCCATCTTTTTGCTGCACCCTAAATCTTTCTCGTTCCCTCTTTCGGGCTCATGCCCCTGGATCACCTGCGTGAAACGTGGAAACAAACGTGTTGTAGTGATGCTTACCATAACAAACATCGTCTACCAATCTAGACATAGATCCTTACTTCAGAACGGAATAGAGGATTCATTTAATTTTTCAGAAAAGTAGGAAAACATTAAACCTAATAACACCTCTTTCCAGTCAACTTTAGCCTGGCTCAACTCAGGATTACAGCCACTGTTATTTTCCTGGATCGATCGTTCGCCCCACCTGTTAGACCAATTGACTCTTACACTATACCACACTGAAAGTCTGTACTTGGCTTCAATTTCTAAGTATCCTTGTAAAGAGTACTAGTGTTGTGCACTTAATTTGATTTTTTTCTGTAATGTGAAGAAAAAAAGGAGTTTTAAGTGGCTCTCGCACTGCTAAAGTCAATGGTGATTTTGGTGTGCCTTTTCGAAAACTCTGATAACACTAAATTGAGATATACCTTATCTACTCCGTCGCTTGAAGTATCCGTGTCATCTCTTCCCATGAAACCCTTCATGATTTCACCGACGGCGAATAACGCCTGCCACAGTGTGACAAAAGGCATGGTCGCAAATACTGATATAGGTTGAGAAAGGTTTGAATATGTCTTTGTTAGTTGACGTCACAGAGGTAATTGATGTTGCGCGTGCGGTTTTCTAATCGTTAATCAGTGAAATTAGCTGACGTTTCGGTACTAAAACTGTTACTGGGGTCATTAAAAAAAAAATTAAACGATGACTCCAACTTCAGTCTGTATGATGCGACTCTTATTAAGCGGTCACTAATCAAATCCCTTACTTCTCAAATGTACAGTAAATTAACTCTCAGCAAACGGACACCTTTATCAAGTGGATGTCGTCATCCTTTAAACTTCCTGAGTATCTTATATTATTTTTGTTACGCAAACAGTCACCTTGTTAAATTCCAAATTCAAATTGCATTAGTTTATGTAGAGTGCGTTGTGAAGAATTGAGAACTACTCTAACTTGCACCTTTGTGAAGTGTGCTGTGAAGAACTGAGAACTTCTATTGCCTGCACCATTGTGTAGAGTGCGCTGTGAAGAATTAAGAACTTCTATTGCCTGCACCATTGTGTAGAGTGCGCTGTGAAGAATTAAGAACCTCTATTGCCTGCACCGTTGTGTAGAGTTCCCTGTGAAGAATTAAGAACCTCTATTGCCTGCACCATTGTGTAGAGTGCGCTATGAAGAACTGAGAACTGAAAGCATCGAGGGGATGCATCTATAAGTAGAACAAACTTTAGCTTTGTAGAGCTCTGATTTGCGTTATTCATACGCATACGGAGAAGAAGGACTTCCAAGTAATATTTTTCATGGCATTATTTTCACATTTATCTCGTAGGGACTTCATATTTTAGTAGACAAACATAAGTTACAAGTTGATTTCCAATGTTTTTTAAAACTCGCCTGAATATATATCTCATATATTTTCATACCACAGCGTAAACATGTTTTAAATCTGTTTTGTTAAACACGGTTTAAAATTGTTTTCTTCATAGAAGCCGCTTAACCTTTTTTTGGCGACTTCAAATTTGCGTGTTTTGCTGAAGTTAATGGCATGTTAGTCCAGTCTACATGCAGGTTAAAGTTAATCATCCCAAAAAAATCAACTCGTTCACAAAAGCAAAATAAAAGATTTGCAACAATGGTGATTTCTCTTTCCATTTCGGATTTTTCTTACGAGGATAGGTAAATAGCAAACCCTGCTACAGTAAAACTTTTGTCCTCTCTGTAAAGCCCTTCTCTCTGCTGAGCAGTTCCCTTTAATTGGAACAGTTTTATTGACTCGTATCAAGAAAAGCGGATTAACTTTGATGACAACAGGCTTTATTGTACAACCTTGAAAAATCCTACACGGTCATTTTGGAATAATGGCGACAACAGCTTCAAAATACGCGTAAGACTTTCAAAAATTTCCATTACCGCACGATCGCAATGATTCAAACGGTCGGCAATGCTAATATTAAATGAATTTTCCTTACATGGATACAAATAGCTACGGTGGGATGGGTGGCAGAGTTTTTTTTCATCAAGTTTGCCTTTCTTCTTAATTCCTTACGGCAAAAAGTACCCTTCTATAGTCCTGGCGTTTTTTCAGTGACATTTTTTTCGGACTTCAGACGTTGTAGTCCGCTTTCAGATGCTGTCGTCGATTTCGTCTCGTATACGAAGATTTTGTTTAAATTCGCACAGTGATCTCGGGTTCCGGACATTC